TGTTAAAGAAAATCTTGTATTTTCTGTCCACTATTCTAGATCTTAGAAAGGAAATATGGTGGTCATGATGAAAAAAAAAATTGTGTAGGAGTTACTTTAAAACTGTTTTCAGTCAGAAATTTGGTAGTGAATTTTACAAGCAATTAACTAACTAAAGGCTTTTACTGGCTTCATTTGCTGCTGTTGTCAGTTTTTGTCGGTTCATATTTTTACCGGATGAACATTTGTTGATCAATGATGAACTGATGGATCTATTATATTCAGGGTAATACTGTATGGTCGTTTTAAAGGTTAAAAAAAATCAAACATAAAAATGAAAGAGCGAGCTAAATGCTGAACAATCTTTAGTTACTTTCACAAAAACCTTTACATTTTACAATTTTAAACCTTTCATTATTATTTAATTTAAAAAAAATCAAATAAACGCACAATATTTGACACCAAATCTTCCAGGCTGATCAGTGCTGCAGATCCATAAGCTTTACAGACAGATTACGTGATCCAGTAGTGATCGATTATCTTAAAGGGACAGTTCACCCAGAAAGCAATATTCTGTTCCATGATGCTTCATATCTGTGATGTAACATCTGCTGTATTATGACATCATGCAGACCTGTCCTTCTTGGTCTTTGCCCCTCATAAACGCACGACCAGAGCAAAAGAACAGGAACTATGAATTCTGGGACACATGCTGAGATTGTCCCACAAGAGCCTGCGCTGCACTTCCCACTGCTGGGGTCAGCCAACGCCCCCAGCACCCCGAATTAGTGCCGGGCCAGACCTACTGGAGCCTCAGCAGCCACATGGGGCGGCACACATGGGTGTGATCACACGGCCTAATCCCGCTCCCATCGCATAACCACAGCACACCTCACCTTCACTGCACTCTCACTGAGACAGAGAAACCTCGCGCGGAGATCACTGAACACAGGATGCAGGATGCATGTCAGCGGCATCGCGGCTCACGTACACGCGTGTGCTGATCAAAACAAACGCACACGCCGTTTGAAAGAGCGCTGAATGCGCCATTGTCGTCATGCAGCTACATAATTGTTCATGAAGGCAGAAAGCGGGGGTTTCCCTGAAAATAGTTAAAACGCACTCTGTAAACCTGCATATCAAACGGGAAATTCTCAGAAGAGAGTTACTTTTATGTTTGTCATTAAAACGTTATGCGTTCCTTTTGTTTTTTTCCTCGAGATCCAAGACCTCGGTCCCGTAAGCAGAGGGCTATATTTAGCAGTGAAATGCTTTCCAGTTGGCTCGGCGCGATCATAAGGGGGGAAAAAACCACACGGAAAACCATGTTCCATAACATCTGAAAGGCAGCGGGCTGCAGATCTGGGATGTCCCTACTTTTAAAGCCATCGCTTTGCGGTAATTGCCCGATGTTTCGCCTCCAGCTGAAATTAACGTCTGTATTTCCACGAGCCGCAGGTAGAACGCTCTTCCTCTCTCTAATGATCCACAATCATGTGAGCAAAACCAGAAACCAGATTTTTTACTTCTGAGTGGTGCAAATCTGCAATCGTGATCACTGACTTAAACATCATCCAGTAACACAGATAACCCCAAGATCACAGGAGAAGCCCAGTGATGTGGTCAATGAGCGTCGATGGCTTCAAAGCCGCGTGTTTCGCATTAATTCACAGATCAGGATACACTAGAGAGTGCTGACGCGATGGTAACCTTATATGAAGTAGGTTAGTCACCCATCCATCCTGTTAAACTCTGTCCCAAAAGACATGAAAACCAAACACATAATAATAAGCGGGTGACAGCAGCAAGTGATTCAAAAGCTTCTGTGATAAAAGTAACAGGCTGCCTGATAGTGATCTGTTTAACTGATACAAAGAGAAAAGCAAAAAGTGCAAAAAGCTCTTCTAAGTAGCTTGAACACATTTTTTTGTACTTAGTAGAGTTATTTCGTGTGAACTGAACAAGAATGCTCCAAACGTGTTTCTTAACATTTTACATTGCACATTTTTGTGCAAGTTCCCAGCATGCATTGCTGCTTGGAAAACAATTCTGTGGTATCTGTTACTAAAAAAAAATCATGGTAGCACTTTATTTTAAGTACCAATACTCGCTATTAACTTGTTGCTTATTAGCATGCATATTACTAGCATAATTGGCTGTTTATTAGTAGTTACAAAGGACATATTAATGTCTTATTCTGCATGATCATATTTTAGATCCCTTAATCCAGCCCATACCTAAACTAACAACTACCTTACTAACTATTAATAAACAGCAAATTAGGAGTTTATTGAGGGAAATGTCATAGTTAATAGTGAGAATTGGTCCCTAAGCTAAAGTGTGGCCAAAATGATCATTGCTTTATATTTTACTGGCTTCATTTGCTGCTGTTGTCAGTTTTTGTCGGTTCATATTTTTACCGGATGAACATTTGTTGATCAATGATGAACTGATGGATCTATTATATTCAGGGTAATACTGTATGGTCGTTTTAAAGGTAAAAAAAAATCAAACATAAAAATGAAAGAGCGAGCTAAATGCTGAACAATCTTTAGTTACTTTCACAAAAACCTTTACATGTTACAATTTTAAACCTTTCATTATTATTTAATTTTTAAAAAATCAAATAAACGCACAATATTTGACACCAAATCTTCCAGGCTGATCAGTGCTGCAGATCCATAAGCTTTACAAACAGATTACGTGATCCAGTAGTGATCGATTATCTTAAAGGGACAGTTCACCCAGAAAGCAATATTCTGTTCCATGATGCTTCATATCTGTGATGTAACATCTGCTGTATCATGACATCATGCAGACCTGTCCTTCTTGGTCTTTGCCCCTCATAAACGCACGACCAGAGCAAAAGAACAGGAACTATGAATTCTGGGACACATGCTGAGATTGTCCCACAAGAGCCTGCGCTGCACTTCCCACTGCTGGGGTCAGCCAACGCCCCCAGCACCCCGAATTAGTGCCGGGCCAGACCTACTGGAGCCTCAGCAGCCACATGGGGCGGCACACATGGGTGTGATCACACGGCCTAATCCCGCTCCCATCTGATACCCATCTACCAGCAGCACGACTGCCACAGCTGGGTACGGCCCAACACACACACACACACACACACACACACACTTGTTATCACAGGAGCCTCTACGGAGCTTTAAGACTCTCCATTTTAACTGAAACCTTGCTCAAAACAAGTGGGGAATCTACTGTGAAATGATTTAACAGAACAGCAGCGTGACGGAAAACGGAGCAACTCACAAATGACTGCTCTGAACTCATCTAGGACACATCAACTGAGTAATAGCACGCAGGAATCGAACGCCGTCCTAATTAGACGAAGCCGGTGTAAAATGGGATGAACTTTACAACATAACAGTATTGCACATACACAAGCCTACTATTAAAACAGGGTTTTTGGTCTGTTTGCATTGAATATGGCTGAAAATATTGATTTGTACATTTGAATCAATCTTCATTTTTGATATATTTTCTTAAATCCCAAAATCAACCTTTTGGTCTGTTTTCGATCGAGACGTGAACAAAACTACAAATACGCTTTGTGCTTAGTTTGATATGAAACAAAGCCTCAGCTTTCCAATCCACATCTGCTGGAAGAAAAACTGCGGGAAGATGTCAATAAAACAGCTTGCAAACAATGTCACGTAACATTACACTGAAAGCCATTCAATGTCCATAAACTCGTTAGTTAGCTAGAGCATTTTGTTAAATATATGCAATATATTACATATTCATCATATCTTCACTTAAGCTGTCGATTCTATATTACTGTTTTTATTATTAGAATTATAGTATTTTATTTCAATTATTTTATTTGATATTATATTGTTATTTGATATTATATACATAAATAAAATAAAACTTTTTTTTAATTTATTTAAATATTTTTATACTACTTGATTGTTAATTATATCTAAAAAAATAAACAGCAATTAAATGTAACCTTTAATATTGATGTACTAACTGACAGGGTACTGTATAGTTTACAGCTTAAAGGAGTAGTTCACTTCCAGAAAGAAAATTCTGTCATCATTTACTCACCCTCCACTTGTTCCAAACCTGAATGAGTTTCTTTCTTCTGTTGAACACAAAAGAAGATATTTTGAAAAATGTTAGCATCCGAACAGTTGATGGGGACCATTGAATTCCATAGTAGGAAATAAAAACACTATGGAAGTCAATGGTGCCCATCAACTGTTCGGATACCAACATTTTTCAAGATATCTTCTTTTGTGGAACAAGTGGAGGGTGAGTAAACGATGACAGGATTTTCATTCTGAAAGTGAACTACTCCTTTATGTTCAGAGATTGTGACTGACAAGTATATATATATATAATCAAACGAATTGAACCAAGTGAATCAGAATCAAATTGATTCACAAAATCAGCGTCAATCCCCAGCCCTAGTGAACACCACCACCATGATTTCATCAGAATACAATGTGACCGCCATCCTTCAGCAGCACTTCTATCCCCCCGTCGTTCAGTGGCCAGACTCTGTTGTTAATGCACTCGAGGCTCTTCCCACCAGTATCTTGCAAACAGGTCGGGGGAGGAAGAGCGACTTCACACACCTGGGTGAGAACAAGCCGTCACACTCCCATCAGGGTCCACCAGACAAAATACCAGCTCACATCACACATGCGTCACTGTCTTGACTGACATCGATGACTGTCAGAAAGCCATAGCTGCCTTGAGGTGGGGGATTTTCTTTCACTTTTACTGCGCTTTAGTCAAGACGACTGGTGGGATGATTCATTAAGAGAAAGTCTTGACAACAATACATACAGTAGAATAAACACCGATATTAAATATGTGCCAGGCAACAGTCTAATGAACAATCCGAATGCAGATTTTAAGAAGTTGGAGTCTTCGAATAAATCCTTCTTTGTTTTGGATTCATTTGGATTTCTATATCAAGGCTCATTTGCCTGTGCTTTATTAAAGGGATAGTTCACCCAAAAATGAACATTCTGTCATCATTTACTCACCCTCACGTCGTTCCAAACCTGTAGGAGTTTCTTCCTCTGTTGAACACAAAAGAAGATATTTTGAAGAATGTTGGGAAACAGAGAGTTGCCGGTAGCCATTGACTTCCATAGCATTTTTTTTTTTCATTCTATGGAAGTCAGTGGCTACCAGCAAAGATATTTTGAAGAATGTGGGTATCTTGAAGAAGATATTTTGAAGAATGTGGATAGGCAAACAGTTGCTGGTCCACACCGACTTCCATAGTATTTTATTTCCGTACTATGCAAGTCAATGGCTACCGTCAGCCAACATTCTTCAAAATGTCTTCTTTTGTGTTCAACAGAAGAAAGAAACTCATTCAGGTTTGTAAATGATGACACAATTCATTTTTGGGTGAACCATCCCTTAAAAGGCGAAGTGTCTCATCACAAAATTCGTTTTCGGACAGGACAATTGGTTGAATCAATTCTCAGGAAAAAATGAACCTATGAACAAATGATTTTAACCTTTAACTGTCCAGACACTATCACAGCTGCAACATCTGCCGCACACCTCAATAAAAGTCTTCTCTATCTGAGAAGAATTTGCTCGACAGTTCTGACTTCAGACATGTTGGAGCAGGGCTATGAGACAGTTCAAACACCTGTCTCGCAGCGGAACAGACACGACCACACCAATAATTACAGCTATAAACACCTGAGGAGATCCGACAGGGTTTTGATAATTTCCCAAATATTTCCGGCTTCATAAATAGCTGTGCAGATTCATCCGAAAGGCACTCACTTCAAAGACCATTGAAATAGGTTCTCTTATCAATATTTGTATTTCAGCATGATTTGGTTTTCTTAAAGCTTGCTTTCTTCGCAGTAGTGGCGTGTTGACCATGCCTTCAGTCTTCCGACCTACAGCATGCGAGAAGCCTTCCAGAGGCCCATTGTGTCCTGACTAAAGTGGCAGAATGGGTTAAAGAGCTTTTTTCTTCAAGAGGATGTAATCCAGTGTTTGTTACTTATCGCTGTCAGTCAGAGGAGCGGAGCAGAGCTGTTCTGGATGGATTATGACACAAAGCTAATGTTCTTCTATTGTTTACTCAAAGACTAAAGGCGGCTTGAACCATGAGCTCATGTCGATCGGGGCTTGTTCAAGACCGCACGGCCCCGGGACGAGCAAGAGCTTTAACTTCAATCAATCGCTACGTCTTTGGGAAAGAGTTTGAATTATAAGCATATAAAGGATCCCCGATTACTGTGTAAAATCAACAGCTTAGCTCTGAGCCTCTGAGTTCCAATGCCATACACGACTACAATCTATAATCTTCACTTTTTAGGGACTAAGTGCAATTCTTGAATTTGGAAGACGTTACGCTTTCTGTTCAGCGGGAATTGTTGAAAACAGCATGAAATGATTGTAAAGGACAAAAAAAAAAAACTCTGTCCAGATCAGGAGCTTGAGAACACTCACATTCACTGATCAGCATTAAAGTCATTTACTCACCCTCATTTTGTATGAGTTTTTTCTTCTGCTGAACACATAAGAAGATATTTTGAAAAATGCTGTTGACTCCCATCGTATGGAAAAAAAACCAAAAAACAATATGGACGTCAATGGCTACCGGCAACTGCTCGATTACCAACATTCTTCAAAACATCTTCTTTTGTGTTCAACAGAAGAAAGAAACTCATACAGGTTTTGTACAACTTGAGGGAGAGTAAATGATGACAGAATGTTCATTTGTGGCTGAACTGTCCCTTTAAGAAAGACCTGGAAGAAACTTCCCAAAACTTTAAGTAGGGCACGGTTCTATTTATCACACAGTTTCAATAAAACAAGCACTACATGTGCCAGAAACAACTCAAAATATGATCAAGAACTGGTGTTACAGCTGTGCAATTACAACTTTATAACTACACTTCAAGGTGAGTTTCATTTTCAAGCAGGATTTTAACCACTGTACATGCTAAAATCTGTGTTTTTTCCTTTATAAATACACTTACATTCATAACGTCCACACAGTCACAATGCCGCCATGGTGAAACACAACAGATACATGACAAATAATGCCATATAATATCATTATCAAAATGATCTGCACAATCATATATAAATTCGAACGTAGTGCGCCATTGATTCACGGTCAAAGGCATTAGTATGCAGTGACAAAGTCTACACACATGCTCACACGCATATCGCTCACTTGTGCTGTCTAAGATTTTAACCTTTAACTGTCCAGACACTATCACAGCTGCAACATCTGCCGCACACCTCAATAAAAGTCTTCTCTATCTGAGAAGAATTTGCTCGACAGTTCTGACTTCAGACATGTTGGAGCAGGGCTATGAGACAGTTCAAACACCTGTCTCGCAGCGGAACAGACACGACCACACCAATAATTACAGCTATAAACACCTGAGGAGATCCGACAGGGTTTTGATAATTTCCCAAATATTTCCGGCTTCATAAATAGCTGTGCAGATTCATCCGAAAGGCACTCACTTCAAAGACCATTGAAATAGGTTCTCTTATCAATATTTGTATTTCAGCATGATTTGGTTTTCTTAAAGCTTGCTTTCTTCGCAGTAGTGGCGTGTTGACCATGCCTTCAGTCTTCCGACCTACAGCATGCGAGAAGCCTTCCAGAGGCCCATTGTGTCCTGACTAAAGTGGCAGAATGGGTTAAAGAGCTTTTTTCTTCAAGAGGATGTAATCCAGTGTTTGTTACTTATCGCTGTCAGTCAGAGGAGCGGAGCAGAGCTGTTCTGGATGGATTATGACACAAAGCTAATGTTCTTCTATTGTTTACTCAAAGACTAAAGGCGGCTTGAACCATGAGCTCATGTCGATCGGGGCTTGTTCAAGACCGCACGGCCCCGGGACGAGCAAGAGCTTTAACTTCAATCAATCGCTACGTCTTTGGGAAAGAGTTTGAATTATAAGCATATAAAGGATCCCCGATTACTGTGTAAAATCAACAGCTTAGCTCTGAGCCTCTGAGTTCCAATGCCATACACGACTACAATCTATAATCTTCACTTTTTAGGGACTAAGTGCAATTCTTGAATTTGGAAGACGTTACGCTTTCTGTTCAGCGGGAATTGTTGAAAACAGCATGAAATGATTGTAAAGGACAAAAAAAAAAAACTCTGTCCAGATCAGGAGCTTGAGAACACTCACATTCACTGATCAGCATTAAAGTCATTTACTCACCCTCATTTTGTATGAGTTTTTTCTTCTGCTGAACACATAAGAAGATATTTTGAAAAATGCTGTTGACTCCCATCGTATGGAAAAAAAACCAAAAAACAATATGGACGTCAATGGCTACCGGCAACTGCTCGATTACCAACATTCTTCAAAACATCTTCTTTTGTGTTCAACAGAAGAAAGAAACTCATACAGGTTTTGTACAACTTGAGGGAGAGTAAATGATGACAGAATGTTCATTTGTGGCTGAACTGTCCCTTTAAGAAAGACCTGGAAGAAACTTCCCAAAACTTTAAGTAGGGCACGGTTCTATTTATCACACAGTTTCAATAAAACAAGCACTACATGTGCCAGAAACAACTCAAAATATGATCAAGAACTGGTGTTACAGCTGTGCAATTACAACTTTATAACTACACTTCAAGGTGAGTTTCATTTTCAAGCAGGATTTTAACCACTGTACATGCTAAAATCTGTGTTTTTTCCTTTATAAATACACTTACATTCATAACGTCCACACAGTCACAATGCCGCCATGGTGAAACACAACAGATACATGTTACACAAATAATGCCATATAATATCATTATCAAAATGATCTGCACAATCATATATAAATTCGAACGTAGTGCGCCATTGATTCACGGTCAAAGGCATCAGTATGCAGTGACAAAGTCTACACACATGCTCACACGCATATCGCTCACTTGTGCTGTCTAAACAATGACTTTAAGGCATCATATGACCATGTCTGAATATCCATCAAAACTGCTTTTCTGAAAGGCATATGGATCACTGTAAGCGTTTTCAGATCTAAAGTAATATATGAATGTCTACTGAGCTCAAGATTCGAATCGTATGAGAGTGGGACTCTCCAGCGCCCTTTTCTCAAGTCCTCTCAAGCTGAGGGGTAATTACAGGCCTGTCTCAGCCGTTCCTCTGTGGCCTTCACAGTGGTTCCCACACACCTGGACTCTAATGATCAAATGCTAGTGGAAGGACAGCAGTGTTGGCATGGACTTACAGATGGTGAGACGGGTCCGTTCGGTAGATACGGCTCAGGCAGCATCAGGAACGGGTATCCAGAATACGACGCTTTATACATTCCACCATCTTGATGTCTGGGCACTTGAAGTGAGAAAGCGAGACAGAACAATAAAAGTTATCAAATGCGTAAGGTGCACGATTACCAAAGAATGAACATCTGCTATAGTAAGGTCGTCATACTGAACTTGTTGTTTTAGTTTGTTGTATATGTGTTTATCAGATTCTCTTATATGTGTATATATATAATGATGATCAATCACAGTTCCTCTTCAAAGCAGATTCTGGAGCGGAAATAACGGAAACAGATCAAACAGGCCTGAGATAAAAACTGCTTATTTAATGATGCAGATTTCAGGTTTTCCCCAAGAAAAGTCCATCAGTTTCATCTCAGACGCAGATGAAAGTTTTAATTTCCCCCGATTCAACTTTTACCAGGTTGCCACAGATGAGACGCAAGACTATTCTAACACAGAAAACTCAAATGCATTTAAGAATATTAATAATTTGGATTTTTTTTCCCAAACCAGAAATATTGTCAAGTCTGGGGGAAATTCTGCCTCCAAAGAAATCTAAGCAAAGACGCACGCGCAGCTTTGTGTTAATAAAGACATATACCCTGATGCTTTGTAGATAAAGGTGAAGAAGTAAAGCAGACTAAAAGCTCTCCCGTCAAAAGCAATCAACACACAAATCGTGCATGGATTTAAGGGAGACTTTACATCATTTCGAGCACTTCTGGGGACTGGTGTGTGTGTGTGTGTGTGTGTGTGTGTGTGTGTGTGTGTAGTCTCACCGTCGTCCAGATGTTCTCGTTTATCAGTGTAGATTCTCTGATCTTCCTGCTGTCCTCTTCTGATCACCTGCTCATCACAAACACACTTTATTCCACACACACACACACACAGAGTACACTTCACTTGAATGCACTGACGGGGTCTTACGGCAGAGTTTGAGTTCTGGCTGATTTCGGATTCATTGACCAGAGATGATTTGAGATCAGCCAGGTCGCTCTCCGTGTATGCGCTCTCGCGGATCTTCTCCTCGTGATCTCCTTCATGTTTAAAGGCGATCATCTCATCATTCGCCCCGAGATCATCTCCCCCTCCACCGTTCAGCTGCGGCATATTCACGCGATCGAGCGAACTTTATTAATGTACTTCTGGTTGTTGTCGTCGCTGTTTTCCGCGCTCAGACGAGCGTTCGAGACTCGCGCGAGGGAGGAAAAGTTCTTTATGATGTGTCGATCCGCGCGACTTGAAAGTAACAAACAGTCGCGCTTAGAACTGCGAAGATCAAAGGGACCGACGCGTGATTGACAGCTCCGATGAGCCGAAGGAGGGGGGTCCGCTCTTAAAGGAACACGACGCGCTTTAGTTTCGGGGCTTTTTCATACAGAGCGCCCAACGTGAGAAACTATCGAAGGCATTTGACGAAAGAATACTTTCGAATAAAAATATATTAGTAAGTGATGAATAATTTAAATGTTTGAATAACTGAGAAATACCTTAGACCAGTCTCAAATAAAGTTGCACTGAAATATAAAGTGGGGAGTTTAGCGTGTAAATAAGAAAAATCAAGGAGTTTATAGTGTTTTAGCGAGCAATAAACCAAGAGGAACAGCTCTATTGTTGAAGTCACTTAATGAACAGATAACACATTTCTGCATGCATTGGAAAAGCATTTGTCACAAGTATGCAGTCAACAACTACAAACAACTACAGGTATATACAGTGCTGGGTAGACTACTTGGGAGTTGTAGTCCATTATTGATTCTAAAAATTGTAGTTAGTAATCCATTGCATTACACATTTTAGGTAATATAATCAGACTACTTTTGATCTGACTCCTTTATCACATTGATTTAAATAGGACAACCATGTACTGATATAAAAATGCAAACAGAAAGAAAATATATGTCATTCATTGTTATTAACAACATGAAGTGCATTAAATTACATAAGGTTTCCCAAACTGGATTTTGTGAAGGAACTGCAACAGGTCCATGAGTTTAATGATAAGCTACTAATTAATTCAATCATAAAAATGTAAAACTAAGACAAAATAAAACACTTACTAAAAAAGACAGACTGAAACAGCCTTCGCGTCAACATGGTGCCTGTGTTTTTAACAAACATTAGTGTGAGCTATTACATGTTACTGTTCGTAATTACCCATAAGTTAAAATAATGGCATACTAAAAACATGCCCTTGATTAGAATTACAATGCAATGTAAAGTGTGACATAACTTGTAAACGACACTCTTGTGATATTGTTTGTCAATTATTGAGCAATCTCCTTCTTGTGCGTGACTTATTTTTCAGTTTTCTACTCTTTTAGTGTTTTGAGTTTTAATTGAAAAATAATGATGTCTTCCCATGCTGTGCGATAATATCTGAGTACATTTTCTGTCATGAACTACAGCTGGGAATAAGAATTAAATACAAACAAAAATGTGTCCAGTATTTGCATAAGGCGGCATATTTATACAGTATCTTCCATGCATATTAATAAATGGATTAAAAATGGCCTGTTTAATACATGCAAATCTAAATTATAAATGAGACCTTGTTTATTTGCCTTGATTAAATATAGACAGCTGCTTATCATGGAAGCAGTTTTTCTGCATCATTTTCCTAATGATTTCTCAATGTTTTCCTACATTTTGCCATCCTGAGCTCATATTTGCATGCTGTCAGACAGATAGCCAGAGCGCTCCGGTTTTTACTCCTTATTTTATGGGCACTTTGTTTCAGAACGAATAGGTCGGTTTATGTTCTAGTGTCAGTTTTAGGGGCTGCTCCCCAGCTGGCCTAGATCATTTCTTTCTCTTTAGCATTTGTCTTTTGTGTGACTTCAAATGTCAGAGTGTATTTGACCGTTTTCTAAGCCACAGGGGCAGGAAGCACAAAGGTAACACGTTGACTGAGCTACTCTTAGAGAGCAAAAGTGATTGTTGTTACATTTTTGCAAGAACCTGAATGTTGTGTTTCGGTCATTTTGACCTAGACAGGATTTTCTTTTTTGCTGAAAATGCTAGTTAATGTACAACAGCACCCCCCCCCAACCCACTTCCCCACCTCAAAAATATATTAAATTTTTTTATAATATTTAAAAAAAAAAAATTCCACATCTTGTTCACTTGTGCTGACCAGCCTAAAAATAGTTTATACATGTCTTGTTATATTATTACCTATTATTGGATTCAATCTTTTTATCAACTTGTTATCTTTCAATTAGCACAGGTTTTGTATTTCTTTTTAGAGCTTATTGATCGAAGGCCTCATTGATCTGAGCTTACGCACCTCAGTTTTTGTGTGCGCATTGTCTAAATTATCCACAATTAATGCTTTTTTCACTCAAAAACTGAATCAAGTCAAAAAAGATATACGAAACCTGTGGTAATTGAAAGAAAACAAGTTGATAGAAAGATTGAATCTAATATTTGGTGATAATATTGCATAACCAGGAACAAGGATTTTCAGCACAGCACAAAGCTTAAGTGTCTGTCGCTTGTTTGCGGATGAAATAACAATGAATTTGTGATGGCCCAATAGAAAGGAACAGTGAGAAATAAATGCGTTCTCAAAACCTTGTGTAAATAATTTGTACTTTTAGAGACATGATGATATTCACCAGTATGGATTTTGGTGTGTATATATATGTGATCCATTTGGCAAAGCCTAGAAATAAAACTAGGAGAACACGAGAGGAAGAGTAAAATGCTGTTTGAGTGCTTTCCAACTGCATTCTGACTCCGTCTGGCTGTGTTTCTCTGCCTCATTTCAGTGGCACTGCAAGCTTTGATGGTTTCGAGGATAAATGCAGTTCCTAAAAATTACATACCGTGCTTCCTAAATAATCTCCAGGCACATTTAAGTAGCAGACTAATTAAATCACATCCTTTAACTGAGGTTGAGCCACATCGAAAGGAACCTCGAGTTTAACTCAAACCACTTGTGTGTTTTTTATTGGCCGCACCCTGTTCTGCTGTCAGATACACAACGGTCAGTGCTTTCCTGGCTCAGAATGATTCACAAACATCATGCCTGCATTGGAGATTTGACATTTCAGCACACAAGCATCTCCATCATGGTGCTAGGGATGTTACTGATGGAGAAGTTTGTAAGCGTGAGGTTCGCGTGGCCTGCTCAGTTCAGCTCAGGAGAGGCCTGTTGTTGTAATCTCTCTCTCTGGCAGGAAACAAAGGGGCTTGTTAATGCAGAGACTTGCCTGAGCCTTTGATGTGAAGCACAACCATTCAAACCTCTGTGCTTCACACACACGTAACACACACAACGCCCAAGACCTGCACTGACACACAAACCGATATACGACACACAGCATGCGCTCATCTGCACACGCGTGCATAACACATTAATGAAAAAGCACAATCTCTCTGCCTTCTGCCTGTAAACCGACGCGGGCCTTCTATTTTAAGATGCGCAAGATTCAATCGGCGTGCAAAAACGTGCTGCACTGTTGCAGCTTACCTCAGTGGAAAGTTCAGTTTAAGAATGTTACTTTGTGAGCATTAGCAGCAGCATTCGGTTGCATTCACAGAAACATCATTTTCCATCCAATGTCAGCTTCTTCCACAAACTTCATGAGGAGATTTCTAAAATGGAAAAAGGGGTTAATTGACTGTTCTTGGGGTTAAAGTAAATTACAAAATCAGGTGCATTCCAACTACTACCCTTCATTTTACAAAATAAAAAATGACATTTACTGAAATGCTCGCAGTCATTTTACTGCTGGTTTGGCTTCAGGATCATCGAGTGGCAACAAACAGTGCCAAAACATTTTATTGCATAAAAAGAAAAAATGTATTTGATACTGTATTAGTATTTGGTTAATTACTAAGTGACAGATGGATCTGCAGCAAAAGACTGTAGTGCATGTTGGGACATCAAAAAAAAAAAAAAAGCCATGGGAAGTGTTTCTCCTCCTTTTCATATGCATTTTTGCTGTCATTACCAATGCATAATTATGGGTTAATTTCATTTTATTAAAAGGGGCTAATTGCATTTTATTATTTGCATTTATGATTTTTCCTCTACTGTCCATGAACTGAACAGACCTGAGACCTGTTTTTGAGAACAACTGTTTTAGAAGAAAATTTCACATGATCTCCAAACCTGAGATTGAAATAAAATGTAACATTTTAGGGCCTTTTGAAAGAACACACATTTTACTATTCAAACATATACGTTTGAATAATTAAAAACGTTATAGCAGGAGTATAAGTCATGTAGTGAAGCAATTTCTTACACTGAATTTTCACAGTTGATTCTGTATTTTGACTGTGTTCTAGGCTTAAAAAAATTGTCTGGATAAAGAAAACATGTCTGTTTTCAACAGATGTTTTTCTTACAGTGTAGAAGAATAAAAGAGGTTCATTTGGAGGTAAAGTCTCCTGTTGGTTTCTCAATGCCTTGCTTAATGCATAAGTTATTGAAATGCTCTGCTGTTTTTCCAGCAAACACAGACTGCATGAACTATTAATATCAGTATCAATATGACAGCAGAAATGAGATTTGTTTCCAATCCGGCACTTACATCCCCTCTGCACACAGATTCAGTGAATAAATCCCTCTTCTTATCAAGAAGCTTGCTTTATGGCTCTTTGAGGGTCAATCGTTTCACTACAGGAGCTTCAGATGAGCGTGCTGCTATCTGATTCTTTACTGTAGTGTGATTCTCTCTGGTTTCTTTAGATACATAGAAACATGGAGAACTAGATGTCAGTCTTCATGCATATGCTCTAATAAGTGTTCAATAACATGAACACATCATTAAAAGCTCCAAAGTTATTATATGAGGCATGTACACTCTTAAAAATAAAGGTGCTTCAAAAGGTTCTTCAAGCGATGCCATAGAAGAACCATTTTTGGTTCCACGAAGAAGCATTCAGTCAAAGGTTCTTTAAAGAAGCATCTCTTTCTTACCTTTTTGTAATCTGAAGAACCTTCTTTCACCACAAAGAAGCTTTTGTGAAACAGAAAGGTTCTTCAGATGTTAAAGGTTCTTTATGGAACCATTTAGACAAAAAGGTTCTTCTATGGCATCGTGAAGCACCTTTATTTTTAAGAGTGTATGTGCCTTTATAAGGGTTCATTAAAGCATGATATGCTGCTCTTTTTTTACCCCGACAATGAAAAATCACGTGAGGTCACATTTACATCAGCACGTTTCTGAAACTACATGTGGATTATTTATCCAGTCATCTTTTGTCAACACTGCTACTGTTTCACCATACAGATAACTGACTATTCATCTAATGAGTCCTGCTTCTGATAATATATATGATT